GGCGGGGCAGGCGCTCTTCCGGCATCCGCCGCCGCCTCCTAGCCACGACCCGCCGAACCCGTGCAGCCTAGACACCGGTGGCCGGAGAGGTATGACAGCCCTATCTCCCACCGGCCGCCGCCGCCGTCGCCGCTGGCTAAGGAAGAGCCATATTACCGCAGTGCAACCCTCCACCCCGCCGAGATCTGGCTCGCTCATTGGTTCCTCTCCTACGGGGGCGGAACCCAACCACAGCCAACGTCATGCTATTGGGTAGGAGGTCTGTCTATCGCAGGCCGGAATGGGCTCGGGGAGGAGGGACTCGAGGATGGCCTCAATTGCGTCTGTCAAGCCCGGGTGAAACCTGGGGCGTTGCTTCTTTTTGTCCCGGTCTAATTGGTTATTTCACTACCAAGGGGCGGGGTCTCCTGGAGGAGACGGAAGGGCCATTGCACTAGATCGTTGTCAATAGTAAGCAAAAGAAAAGAGAGGCGGGGTCTCGATTAGGTAGAGCTCGCGCCTGGGCTTCGGTGTCACGTGCAGGAGGCTGGAGAGTCACCTGATTAGTAAGCATCAGTCTTCTGAGCCACTTCCGCCCTAACCTAGTTGCCCCGGTAACAGGCCTCCGATGGAGGGCGGGGACCCACGTGGCGCTAGCCAGGTTGTCATTGCTGGTCTGCCATTGCAATCCCCTTGAGCAGTCTTTTCCCGAGGTGTTCTCGTCAACGCGCGAGAATTAAAAGGGAATGCTTTATGTTTCAGCAGAGAGCCACCACGCAGGATGCACTGAGACCGGAGACTCTTCGGCAGTCCCACCAGCTCTTCCACGACTGTTAAGGGACGCCCCAATCCCTACTGACCTTAAAACATGCATTCTGCTTCTGTACAAATCGCTTGCTAAAAAAATAGGGAATCCAGGGTGGGGAGGGGCTACAGGGCTCATGGCAAAATTAGCTTATGTACCTGCTGGCTTGCTTGCATTGGCTAGATTGTGTCAGGTGCAAAAAATTCTCGCCTAGCTAAAAATAAAAGCTGCGAGAGGTTTCAACTGGGGGCTGCGCACCTCTATTGGCCTGCTTCACCCTGGCTGCCAGAAATAAACTCTTTTCCTATTACCCGGTTCTCGTGGGCAAGTTTCTTTTACTCGTCGGACGTTGACCATAGCACAACCAACTCCAACTGACCAGTCCACGCCCCTCTTCACACTCCACTAAACTAGTATGCTGAGCTACAAGGTGTGCTGGGCACCCAGGACGCTGCCTCACCTCTATGGGTGGATTGCTTATGCTGTCCACTTTATGCCTAGAAAGCCTGTGCTACTTTTCTCCTCCTGACTAATGCTTACTTACCCATCGAGTCTCAGCTGGGGCAGGAGCCCCTTCCAAAAGGCTTCCCTGATGCTCTCTGGTACCTTGAGTTAGGAACCTTGCCTCTGCAGTAGTCCTGATTATTGTATTGTCCTTTAATAGGAGTGTTACACACAGGCAGCCCACGGTCCCTCCCTTACCCACTCCCCTGTCACCCCCACTCCATACACATACTGTGAATTCCTCAAGCAAAAGGATATTGTCTGATTCATCTCTGGATCCCCAGTGCCTGATAGAAAAGAATCAGGAATTTTTTTTTTTTTTTTTTGGAAGTGAAGGCCCAGCTTAAATGCCACTTCTTCCATGAAGACTTCTTATGCTATTGTGATATTTATATGGTGCTGTATATCCCCCAGAGAAACATGTATCCAAGTTTAGAGAACATGGTACTATGGTTTGGGTGTGATTTGAATGTGGTTCTTCCCCGCCAAAAATCATGTTGAAATTTGTTTCCTAATATGGCAATGTTGGAGGTGGGGCCTAGTGAGGTGTCTGGGTCATGGGGGCAGATCCCTCATGAATAGAGTAATGCCCTCCCACAGGGGTAAATGAGTTCTTGCTCTCACGGAAATGGATTAGTTCCTGAGAAAGCCAATTGTTAGAAAAAGAGTCTGGCTTCCTCAGTTTCTCTCCTGCTTCCGCTGTCACCATGTGATCTCTTTGCACATACCTGCTCCCATTCTGTTTTCTGCCATAAGTGGAAGCAGCCTGAGATCTTCACCTGATGTAGCTGCCCAATATAGGGCTTTCCAGCCACCAGAATTGTAAGCCAAATAAACCTCTTTTCTATATAAATTACCCAGCCTCCAGAATTGTTATAGCAACATAAAACAAACTAAAACACATGGATTGTAAGGGGGCTAAATATGATTATACATGCAATGGTAGAAGGAGGTTCAAGGTCAAGCGGTAGCAGAGAGTGACTGACTCTTCAGGGGCTGGTGGGCAAGTCAGAGCAGGTTTCACAAAAGTCTCAAAGGATGATTAGGAGTTTGACAGATGAATAACAGGTGTTTAGATCTGTTTGGTTCAGGAATAGCTAGTGTTTTAGCAGGTATCTAGTACAGATGGGGATTGAAACCAAACATTCAGTTTGCAGGGCCAAAAAGCCAAAACTGACAGATGAATAACAGGTGTTTAGATCTGTTTGGTTCAGGAATAGCTAGTGTTTTAGCAGGTAACTAGTACAGATGGGGATTGAAACCAAACATTCAGTTTGCAGGGCCAAAAAGCCAAAACTACCCCAATCCATTTTGCCTCTTCTTCCTCCTCCCACCTCTCTGACCTGATATATGGGGTAAATAAGAGTAAGATAGGGCAGATCAGTCTTCTGATGTCTCAAACATAATCAAATTAAATCTACTCCCTTCCCTTCAACAGAGCCCTCTTTCTTCCATTTACTTACTTGTCTAGGCAAACACCCATCAGACCTTTGCCACATGTCCAGCCCGGGCACTACATTTTAAAAAATGATAGAATTTTTTTCTATAGATATGATAGAATCCCTGACTAAAAGCAGTTCACAGATCATCTCAATACAAAGTTGTAGTGCAGTAATTGAGAAGATATATAAAATAATTGAGATGATTTTATATAAATAAAATGCAATGGAAACACATCAGAAGTTACCAACTGTCATGTTGTAGGGAAAGTGAAGGGAAATGGTCAGGGCCCCTCAGATGTTCAGAATCTTGTGGAGCATTTGATGTAAATATGCATGAGCGCCCAGGTGTCCTGGGTTATGGAATTAAGTATAAAGGACGAGTAGCTCTGATCCACAGTGCCCCCACCCCCAGGATGCCCCGGGGAGGGGGGGCATGAGTAGGCCACTACTGCTGCTGTTAGCTGTTGCTGCAAGCTGTTGCTGCCAGTGGCCCCGGGATGCCCCAAGAGGCCACCGCCGCCATTGCTGCTGCTGCTTTTGGTACTACTGCTGCTACTGCTGAGGACTTGAGCTCATGTCATCTGCCAGTGTCTCCCGGGATCTTTCCCAATTACCTAGTGTGGAACTGCATGTGAGAGGTCTATTACCCAGCCTGGCATGTGAGGGGTCTGTGACCCAGTCTGTACAATGGGTTTGAAGGGTCTGAGTCCTAGCCCCGACAACTAGCATGGTCACTTAGCAATACAATAGTCATGTAGCTTTACAATTGACATCGTCATTTAACCCTACAGTTGTCTGGTAGCAATACAAGTGTGTTGTCCAGGAAGGCTTCCTAGGGGAGAAAGAGTATTCTAAGCAGAAGGAACAACATGAGCAAAGGCATAGAGGCAGAAGACATGGCATCAGCATTGTTTAACATGGTTGAAACAAAGGCTGCATATGAGAGCAACAGGCAGACAGGCTGGAAGAAGACGACAGTGCTAGTTGAGAGGAACCTGACTACCAGGCAGAAGAACTTGAATTTGATCTTGGGGAACAGGAAGTCACTTAGAAGGCAGCTATGAAGGGGCAGGACTGAAAGAGCAAGACTGTTGCAGAAGTCTAAGTGAGAATTGTAAAACAAAAAGAGGCAGTTTTCCAAACAGCCTCCACACACCCAGCAAACCTGAAAGGCATGTCCCTGGACAGCATTTCTCCTCCTTTCCCAACCCTTCAAGATTACTTTCTTGAAAAAGGCTACTCAGACCTGAACTAATTGCTACCTCGTCTAGGCTTCCACAGCAGCTGCCTGGCTTCTCTTTAGTATATGTATCCATGTGCCTCAGCATATACTGAGTGGTTTGTGTTTGTCTCTCCCCTATGCTGTGAAGCCCTGCTTTTGATTTCTCTTTGAATCCCCAGCATCCCGACAGAGGACAAGCTCCAGAAGCATCAATGAGCAAATGGCTGAATGAGTGAAGTCAGTGAATGAATGGATAATTGCTTGAGTAAGTGAATGTTTGGATCACATGGGGACCTGCATACCTCTCCAACTGGACACAGATGCAGAGAGAGGAAATGAGCTAGCCCAAGTTCATAGAAAGTTTGTAGCAAAGCTGAGACAAAAGACTTAGGCTTCTTGTCCCCAAGACTAACACTCT